TGCATGAGTCGTCCAAGAGCATGGCCTCAAGGAATTCTCGGCCATTTTGAAGGGCAAACTCCGACGATGGGTGTTTTATCCCATGCAAAGGTGGCAATACATAGTCACTTCGGACAAATGGTCACGTCTTTTCACAACCAATTGGTGCTTGTGGAGGCGTGTTGAGACGGATCTTCCTGTTTGGCCACAATATATAGCATCAAAAACTCCGCATGGGATTTCGTTGATGACTTCTTTCCTATTAAGGTAGCCAACCCTATCCTTATGGTGTACAAGCTGGGTGCGTAAAGTAGCCATAGGTTTGTGCGCCACTTTTATTTGGTGTTTCCGCAAGCGCCTTTCAGCGAGTTCAGACACGATCCTTATATAAAGGAGGATTCACCATATATTTGTTATGGGCGCTTGAGTTGAACCATCTGGTTCCTTTTTGTTGCGTTGTTGTTGTTTCATGCATCGGCGTATAAAGCCTCTGGGGTAACCATTACGGGAAAACAAATCATATAGATAATTGAGCTCGGTTCGTTAGGTTTCGTCATCAGAGCAGCGAGTCTTCACTCGGCGTAGCAGGCTGTTGACGGCATTTCTTTTTATGAGAGATGGGGATGTTGCTTTCATAGTTAAGAATAACTTCCGCTCATGTTTCTTTGCGGTAAATGGATGTCTGCAGTGTTCCGTCAGTATTTCGCTGCACGAGAACATCCAGAAATGGGAGTTTGTTGTTAATCTCCGTCTCGAGGGTGAATTGAATGCCCGGAATCGTTGAATTTATGGTGTTGTGAAGCGCCTCGAGTCGGTCCTTTTTAAGGACAACAAATGTGTCGTCTACGTATCGTACCCATAACTTAGGGTTAATCGATGGAAGGGCCGTTGATCATAGCTACTGCATTTTTATTTCGGCAAGGAATCCGGATAAGGGCGACTCCACTAAAGCTGCTTTTAATTGTTGATAGTATTGATGATCAACTGAAAAGTTGGTTTCTAGGCAAAGGTCCACAAGTTCAAGTAAAGGCACCTGCAGGAGCATTATTTTCTTAGGTCCTCAAGACTTCCTCTGTGCATTGCCTTGCTACATCATGTGGTATGGAGGTGTACTCCGACGACTCATACATCAACCGGCGCATACAATTAGATGGTATTTATGAACAGTTCAAAGAACGGTGGAAGATAGAAGGCGGCACGACACAGACTGGCTGAGACCACGCCTACCAATCAGGTCTCACCCCGTATAATTATTGATTTTTCCACATGTTTGAAATTTTAGTTGTTTATTGCACGTTTCCTGTTAGTCTGAAGATGAGCTGGGGCACCAGACTCGAAAATTAACCAAGTAAAGTTACGTTATATCCCAAAGAACATCTTCTTCAAATTAAAATTGCTTGGGATGCGTGTTTTCCAATTTACACGAACTACTATCTCTGTTGTATACTTGAATTTAAAGTAACTACTGCAAAACGCTCTGCGAATGCGTACGCATATCTACCAGCATTGCGAACATTATATAATTTCGGTATTTCCTTCAGCTGCTTGCAAGGAATGCGAAGTTCAAGAGTGCGCACAGAAATTTTCCCTAGATAAATTGAAGTAAACTTCAAACAAAATTTGATCACCGGAACGGGAGAAATAGCAACTGAGGCTTATTAATTGGTCGCTACTAATTAG